TGATATAATGATGTATATATATGTATATATACACCCTCACATTACAAATAAGTGAGAATTGTCTTGGTAGAGCACTGATGTGGCCCACTTAAGTTTTAAACATCAACGCAACTACAGTTGATGTAAAGTCCACAAGTGAGCGGTCGCGTGATTTCTTAAAATTGCTGGCGCGCCTGGCTCAGTGTTGCCAAACCTACTGTTTTAAAACTAGATCAACTGTTTTTATCTCTGTTCTGTTTTAGGCATGAAATCTACTGTTTTCTCCAATTTGGAAAATTTTGTTCTTAATTTATTACGTTTGCCTCGTTCTTCAGCAAATGTACAAAGGATATTTTCTCAAGTAAATTTGCTGAAGTTAAATCAGCGTAATAAGTTAAATACAGCCAGTACTGTAGGTTTGCGCCACACAACAAATATTTAACTTCCTGCAAATTATAATTATTTCGCCCTGTATTAAAATCTACTGTTCAGTTTCGATTAACTACTGTTTTTTCCCATCCATCTACTGTTCCAGAAAATTTTTATCTGGCAACACTGGCCTGGCTGTCCTTCAGTTGTTCTTTGTTGAGTAGCGTAAAAAACATTTACGCGGCTTCTCAAAGCGTTTGTTAAATGTGTTTTTATTTTTCGGTGTTTTTGATTTGTCTGATACGAGATGGCTTTCTGGAGACTTTTTGAGGTACATGTAGATGGCTAATGAACTGCAGGTTAATGATGATATTCACATTAATAATGAAATTCCAATAGGGACCGTGCGTCATGACTTTAACTCTAACTGGTGACAAAAATGTGAACTTTATGGGGGGTATTTATTAATGTTTTATACGGCATTTATTGTTTATTAATTATTAATTAAATAAAGTCGAATTATTTTCGTAATATTATTATCGAAAAAACTTGTTGCATCCGTGGATGTACACATCACTTTGGAAACCTGGATTTCATTCGATAGTAAAGAAATTTTATAAATTTCCACAGAGCACAACAATTAATGTTTCACACCCAATGATATACATAATTACAAAGATTGCTTATCCATATGTAAATCAGACGACGAAAAGCGTATTTCACTGGGCAAAGTTTTCTTTTTATCTAGCTTGTATCAATTTTGAGCACTTAGTTGTAAAGAAATCATTTACAGAACCGGTTTAGAAATTAGAATCTTTAGTGTTTTCTTATCATTAAGATTTTTACATATTTAAATAAACATTTTATATAAATATAATTTTACGATAATTAATGGTTTATTCTGTTGATTAAAACTAATGTAGAACGTTTATTATGAAATAAGAATGTCCAATTTGACAAAAATATCATGGCCCTCTTTACAATTTATTAACTATTTCTCATTTATTAATAAAATAAACAAATCATAAATAATACATTGTAATTACTGTCAAAAGAGATTGCAACAAACTTTAAAATATTAAAAATCCAGTGATTTTTGTAAATTTTTTTAGTGACATGTCCATTAAACATTATTCAGAATAATAAATAAGTGTCGGGGGGTGGGTTGGCTCAGTGGTTAGAGTCATGACTTTGAGATCGGAAGGTCTCTCAGGATCGAATCCCACCGTTGGCCGGGATTTTTTAATTTAATTTAATTATTTAAAATTAATTCTGATGCCTTGGTAGGATTCCCCACTCGACCATTCACTGTTGGGTTCTAATTAACAGTGCTGTTCCTAAAGTGGCGCTGGGAAACAGTAACAAAGCCTACACAGAACACGAGGCTAATAACCATAGCAGTTGATGCCGATGACACAAAAAAAAATAGATAAGTGTCCAATTACAACTCTTACCAAAGTTGTTTATACCTCATCTGAAAGTTGTTTACATTACCTTTTCAACATTGTATTACATATTGCAATTATGTATGTTATGAAGTATTATTTCTGAAATGAGAGTAGTCTAATAATTATTTTTATATCCATCTATTATAAAAATTGTTTAGATCTCTTAATATTATTTAACTACATAGAAACTCAACTTTCCAAATACATAATAACATGTCTTGAAGTAAAACTTAAATTATATTCTTTTTCTAAAGATTAAAATGCTGAAATTTTATTTTAAAACATATTTGGGCTAGAACGGCTCTATTTAGTGAGCACTAGGAAAGGCACATTGCAACCCGCTTCTTATAATTTTTTATAGATTGGTGAGCAATCTATAATATGTATCATTGGACATCTCATAAACGTCAGTGGGTGAATGACATTTCGACTAACTAAAAAGATTTATTATTATTATTATCAATCTTTTTTATTAATTTACATTTTTTAAATGTTATTGTAATATTTTTAAATTCAGTGTTACTAAATACCGATATTTTGACATTGGATACACTTGTTTAAGGTACAACTTTACAATTTATTGTCACTTAGCCATTTAAATCTTTTTGCTTAAAATGTATATACATGTCCAGATTTTAATAATGTTTCACATTTTACATCATTTTGACCATGTACACGATTGTTTGGTACGAGCCGGTATCTATTTTTAACTATATTTAATATTTTAAAAAATATTCTTTATTATTTACTTGCAATGTTTACCCCATTTAATTCTAAAATTAAACACTAGAGAGGGCTAACTTCGGCAGTAGTGCTGCCTCTATATTTCACGCACGGTCCCTATAATGAAATGAAAATGGCTTTGTATCAAACACGAACAAGACGTTTCATATAATTGAAAACGAACTTTATTTCAGGTAAGTTCGTTTGATCATTCAATAAATTTGAAAAAGAAACCGTTATAAATACCTAAATTAAATATTTTTTTGCGACTACCATTCTAATTTTCTTTTTATATCAATGTAAACAAATTGGTGAAAAAGTACAAAAAAACATTGGTAAAAAACATAAAAGCAGAATTTGGTACGTTCACGGGTGGGGACGAGATATTTTACAGATATAAAGCACTGAAGAAAAAATTTGACGAAATTAATCAAAGGTTTTTTAAAGCTCCTAACGTAAATAAAATTCAGTATTTATTTAAAAACGTAATATTTATTAGATAACTATTTACACATAGTTTACAGTAGTTTAATTTATAACAAATAATAAAAATTTATTATAATTATTAATAATACATATTTTTGATCATTTAAAAAATAAAATACAACCTTCAAATTAAAGTACAAAAAAATATAGTCAAAAGGTCCTAAGATCAACTTAAGCTGTTCTTTCTCAAAGACCTGCGAATGTAATCTAAACTAATCTAAAATACAGGGTGATTTCGAAGTATTGTAATTTCTTTTAAGAACATATAAAGCACTTTTCGTCATATACTTTTTTCAAAAAAATACAAAACATAATAGGGAATAAAAAATACTTAAATAAACAGTAAAATTATTTCAGTTTTAGCATACGGCCCTGTCTCGCTCAAAAATTCAAATATCACCAACCCGCGCCGCCCGGCTACACTTAGTTGCTGTATGTGCCAGGACCGTACTTTGTTAAGTTGGTTTAAGAAGTTTTGAGGAAATGTAAACATTTTTTTATGAATATTTTTTAATATTTTGATCAAGTTTAAAATATGATTTTTAGATCTAGGGATATCTAATTAAACCCCTACTAAAAGGAATTACAATTCTTCAAAATCACCCTGTATGACTCATCTATATCTAAAACAAAAAAGAAATTACAAAAAAAAACAATTTTACAATTTTGTGTATTTGGCATCATATATTTCAAACATGTTACTATTGATTAATTATTATTATTACTATTCGTTAGTTAGTCTTTAATTTCAACAGTTTTAAAGTAATTAATGACCTACTTAAATTAGAATAATTTTATTTACGGTCTGCATCATTCTCTAATTTCACGAAAAATTAATTGCTTGGCAGACCTGTAATAAATATTCTAAGGTTGAATACAGTATAACCCATTTCTCCATGTCTCGTCATTTACAAAAATACAGGGGAGCATCCCTGAGCCCTCCTTTTAATTGGAGATTATTTCATACTCTCCATAGAGTCCCGGTACAAATGTAACACTGGAGCGCATTTTTATTAGTGTGTGTTATTAAATGTCCAGTACGCTACATTCGCCATTAAATGGTTTAAAGCAAATATCGCACTTAAATGGTTTTCCGTATGTGTGAAGCATTAAATGTTTTTCTAAGTTAGATTTTGCATTAAATCCTACTGAACAAATGTCACATTTAAGAGCATACAGTAGCGCTTCATCACATTGCCTCGAATTTCCTAGATTAACAGCTTGTAAGTAGGATCCCACACATTTGAATAACCTTTGGCAACGCTGTAACGCCAAAGAAGGGTCTATAGCAAGCGTCTATAGAAGGATCAGGTATAAATTATAATAAATAATTTTAGAAATGGAATTTCCATTTTCAGTAGGTGGTACAGATATTTTTTAAATTAAATAACACCGACAAGTACCTATAATATTGATAATTAATTTTAGATTTAAATAAATTTACGGAAATATCATATTTTCTTATTTAAATGTAATATTATTTTAATAAGCGCCTAGTGTTTTATAATTGTGCCTATATAATCTTCAGTTAAACAACATTTAAAAATTAAACAGCAATTTAGAGTGGTTGTTTTGTAGGTTACAGGACTGGAAAATTATTATGTGGGAGTTAGAAACAAATTCTGCAGTTCTTGTGATTTTTACAACCGCAAACAGTTAGAAATAACTCAACGTAAATGTTTTAAAAACTGGACCGGTACGTCTACATCAATGGAAACAGACATTATTATTGAAGGATTTCGAAGCAGAATACATACACGTAATTTGAAACCTTGGTTGGCGATGGTGACAGTTCTGTGTATAAGAAACTGATGGAAACGAAACGGTATGGTCCCCAAACAGCAATTTCGAAAATTGAATGTAGAAACCATCTGCTTAGGAATTTTTCTTCGAAATTAAGAGATATAGTCAGTGAGTAAATTCTTTAATGACTTATACTTAACATGAGTAAATTCTTTAATGACTTCCTAACATTATAATATTTAATTTTTTTAGAGAAACCCCGGAGTGTTTCTACGAATTCTTCTCTACCAGTCTACCTAAGAAAAGAGGTGGAAAAAAATTCAAAACGTTTAATATTTGCTATCAGTAAGGCAACGAAATATCGAATTGAAGAAAACACCGATTTCAAAAAGAAAATAGTACTGTTGAAAAGAGATATCCTCAATGCCCCTTCCCATGTATTTGGTGAACACGCCGAATGTGAAGCGATCAATTATTTTAAATGTGACAGAAAAGGCACCAATTTCGTAATACTTATGAAAGAATGTGGGTTTTACAGAGACATCCTGGTTTGCTTGAATCGACTTATTTTGAATATCGAAAGTTTGATTCACAATTTGAATAATAATCTTGCTGAACATTATAACTCAATTAACTTTTCGAAAAGGAATTCCTGTCAGACCAGATGTGAAGCTGCAGTAATATCATTCAACAAGGGAGCAGAACATTATGATATGCTCCATAAGGCAATAACAGGAAATGAGCCCAATACATACACAAAGAAATATTTAAAAATAATTGGAAAAAGGAAACTAAGATTTGCGAAACTAACGAAAGAAAGAAAGGAGCTTTTCCAGATAGGGACTATGGTAATATCCACGAACCTATTCCTGATATGGATGAAAATGAGTATAATTTGAGAGAACTGGAATTCCTAAATATGTTAAATAAAACGCAAGAAAAGATTGATACAATAGAGGATCTTATCAAGGAACAGACCTCTTTCATTCTATGGTTGGAAGAGAGATAAAAAAGGATAACCGCATCAAATTTTTGAAAAATTTGTAAACTAAAAGCAAACACTAGCAGCATCAACTCAATTAAAGTATTATTATACAACAAATTTAAAGGCAAACGCGACACAATATGGGAAATTAAACGAGCCGTTTGCAGTCGATGATTTTGAGGCAATCTCCAAACACAAAGTAAAAGAATGTGGGCTATTCATCGATAAAGTGGTGGATGACAACGCCATTTTAGAAATAAAGTGTCCTTTGAATATTAAGGACATGAGTCCAGAAGAGGACATACGAACAAAAAAATAAAATATACCAAACTTGAAAATGAATCCTTCGCACTCAATAGAAGACATGAATATTACTTCCACGTCCAAGGGCAATTAGCAATAACAAAAAAAAAATGCTACTTCGTTATATGGAGTCCAAAAGGTTGCTTAATTGAAGAGGTAGAGCTCGATTTTTTTGTGAAGAGCACATTTCGTCATAGCTATGCCACACTCAAAATAGCTAAATAAAGGCAACAAATACAAATAAGTAACACTAAGCTACTGAATTCAACTTGTAGACCAGGGTCGATAATTTTGAAAATGGTAAAAAGTAAAAAAAAAAATTATAGTTACTGAATTCAACTTGTAGACCATAGGGTCGATAATTTTGAAAATGGTAAAAAGTAAAAAAAAAAAATTATAGTGGGATGAAACCCGTTAAAAAAGGACGAGAGTATAACAAAAATGAAAGGAAAAATAATTTACGGACGATCTGAGGTCGGGAAGTGGAAGGGTGAGTTTTTAAGGGTAAAAACGGCGTATTTCGATTTCCGGCAAAACTACAAGTCCTATGGAAAAAAATGACAAAGTTGTAGGTAATAAAGAGACCTACAACTTTTGTAATTACACTTTTTTCACATAACCTCAAAATTTATGTGAAAAATTCAAATAATCAAGTTTTTGGTTTTTTATTTTTATCTTATGCACAAAAATTATTTTTCACGAAATTTTGTGAAAACTTACCTTTTTATGTCCTAAAGACACTGTAATTTTTTTGATTTGAAATATTTATTTTTTGTTTTTTGTTCGTTGAAATCTTTTCTTTCTGATAATGTAAAAAAATATATACATTACTATGGTAAATATTCTTAGAAAATGCAAAGAAAAGGAAAAAACTCGTATCCGAATTTTTTTTTTTTTAATCACTGCAGACATTATTAAAACTTCGATAGAAATTGCCAGAGATACCAATAAAACTGTCATTGTTGTCGGTCAAGATATTGATCTTTTGGTCCTTTAACTTCAAATAATCATGACTAATAGTTTCAAATATGAATCCTTCAAAAATATCGTTGCATTTCTGCATTGTTTTTCTGGTTGCGATACAACATCTGGATTTGCCGGAAAAGGAAAGAAGAGTATTGTAAATTCATTATTATACGATAGAAATGTGTCAAATTTGGCCAATATTTTTTATTAAAAAGATGCAAACAAAAAAGATATCGAAAAAAATGGATTACAATTAATCAAATCTATTTATAAATGTGAAAATGATAATATAACACTGAATCAATTAAGATTTCAAAAATATCAATTGGCAAAAATTAAATCATCTTTCATATTGGCAAATCTCCCACCTACAGAAGGTGCAGCAGAACAACATTGTTACAGGGCATATTATCAACTTCAAACTTGGCTAGGTAACGAACTGACAGCAACAGATTGGGGCTGGAAGCAACATCAACGTGGGATTATGCCCAAATTTACAGAAAAGGAGTTAATTGCGGAAATATTGCTCAAAACTATTTGTTACAGCTGTGAAACTGGATGTAAATTTAAAATGTGGCTGCCGAAAACATGGCTTAAAATGCACAAATTTATGCTCAAATTGTAATGGTTCTGAAAAATGCATCAATGTTGAAGAAAAAAACATACGAGGAAGTTAGTGATTCAGATGAAATTGTGGATGAAGGACCAATTCAGACTAAAAATAATATTGGATACGAAGACGGTGATGGTCTTGAAGATTTCGAAGATCTACTAGAATCGGGAAGGTTTGTCGAATCTAACGATGAAGAAATGCCACCGAAGAGACAAAAAGTAATGGATAAGTGATTAGGGTTCAAGATAAGATTTATAAATAAGAAGATTAATGCATTTTAAAATATTATTATGAATAATAATGAGTATAAGTATCTAAATTTAATAGTACGATTTACATTTCTATTCATATATTATGAGATTTTCTATGACATAAATGTAATTAGAATAAAATTGCAGCAATCACATTTTTTAATTGAAATCCCCCCTTTAAATCCTATGTTTCTTGTAATTTTTATGATTTATGGATTTGTAATTTTTTGTTTTTCAATGTAACATAGAATCTGACGTTTTTCAAGTAATTAAAGTGTCAATTTTACTAAATAGCTCAAAATTGTACATAGTGATTAAAAAAAAAATTCGGATTCCAGTTTTTTTCTTTTCTTTGCATTTTCTGAGAACATTTACCATAGTTATGTATATATTTTTTTACATTATCAGAAAGAAGAGATTTCAACGAACAAAAAACTCCCCGACTTTTTTTAAAAAGCTGATATTTTGACGCGAGAATTTTCGATTGAAAATTAGGGTGTTTTTTCGATATTAAGTTTTGCCGGAAATCGAGATACACCATTTTTTACCCTTAAAAACTCACCCCCTTCCACTTCCCGACCTCAGATCTCCAGTAAATTATTTTTCCTTTCATTTTTGTTATATTCTCGTCCTTTTTTAACGGGTTTCATCCTACTATTTTTTTTTGTTTCAAAAATTATCGACCCTGGTCTATTGTATGAGCGGTGATGAGCGGCAGGTGGCTTCAATCACGTTTAAATCTGTCTGACCACGCCTACAAACTCAAATTGATTTCTGCACAATATGACGAAGTGTGCTCTTCACAAAAAAATCGAGCTCTAACTAGGTATTAATTAACTTTATTAATGTTCTATTTACATTTATACAGATGAGAACTTCTGGATAAACAAAATAGTTTCGAAATTAAAAATATTTTTTTTCAACTGTCTTTTTCCGGAGCTAGTTGATCCAAGGGCAACAATGAACTTGAACATAAGAGAAAACTGTAGAAAAGAATTAAGAAATGTAAATTTATATTTCACTCATATAAAAATAGATATTTTTTTTTTATATCGCATGTCCATCCATATCACTTGTTATTCTTACCTAAATATTTTTTTTTTGAAAAATTATCACAACTCGAAAAGAAATTTCTGAAAACTGTTTCGAATAATTCCGAAACAACATTTTTGCTTTCCTCCTACAATGTTCAAAACCGATAAATGAGATGCAATGTTTATTATAAAAATTACTAGTTATTTAAAAAAAAAAAAAAATACGTAATTCAAAATATTAAATAGAAAATATTATGTTACTAGTATTTCAAAAAATATAAAAAATTCTACGACTGAAAGTAATACACCAAATCATGCACAGCGAAATGTTTGTCGATATCGCTCGGTGCAGCGTTGCCATATCGAGGCTCGCCCGTTATAGCAGAGTGGTAGCAGCATCTGGCGGCCAATTTTAATTAAAAAGCTCAATTTTAATCCCATTTAAAAAGTATTTACTTTTTTAAAAACTAAAGATCGTCAAAAAAATTTTAATTTACTATACATTGGGGCAGAAACATTAAAAATTTCCAAAAATTTACTTAATTAATAAAAAAAAGATTGTTTCTGTCCCAAGCAATAAATATTGATTAATAACTGAAAAAAATTTCATGAAAATCAGATGAAGAATAGAGCGTATGGCTTTAAACTAAACTTACGAGATATCCTGGTTGCTCTAAAATGGTGTTTCGTTAGTGTGTGTCATTAAATGTTGTTCTAAGGTAGATTTCAAATTAAATTGATTGGAACAAATGTTAACACTGTAACGGAGTTCCTTTAATGTGTTTTACTAAATGTGCCTCTAAGCTACATTTCATATTAAATGGTTTTAAACAAATGTGGCATTCGAATGTTTTTCCATTTGGGGGAATCATTAAATGACGCTTTAAGGTAGCTTTCGAAGTAAATCTTTTGAAACAAATGTCACATTTAAATGGTTTTTCGTTAGTGTGGGTTATTAAATGTTGCTTTAAAGTATCGTTTGTAGTAAATCCTTTGGAACAAATGTCACATTTAAATGGTTTTTCATTAGTGTGGGATATTAAATGTCGCTGTAAGTTACTCTTCAGATTAAATTCTTTGAAACATAGGTTGCACTTGAATAATTCTTCATTAGTGTGAATTTTTAAATGTGTACGAAACTTAGATTCTAAATAAAAAATTTTGGAACAAAAATCACACTTGAATGGTTCCTTGGGATGTATTTTTAAATGTTTCTGTAAATTAGTCATCAGCTCAAATTTTTTGAAACAAATTTCGCACTTAAATGGTTTATTTGCGTGAAGTAATAAATGTTGCTTTAAGGACGATTTCGTAGCAAGTCCTTTGGAACAAATGTCACATTTAAATGGTTTTGGGTTACTATGGCTCATTATGTGTCTTCTTAAACTTCTCTCCAATTTAAATTCTTTGGAACAAATGTTACAACTAAAAGAGTGAGTCATTGCATGTCGGTTTAAGTTACTTTTCAGATTAAATCGTTTGGAACAAAAGTCGCACTTGTATGGTTCTTCTGTAGCATGAATTTTTAAATGTTTCTTTAAGTTATTCTTCCACTCAAATTGCTTGCAATAAATATCACGCTTCAATGGTTTTTTATGCCCATTGACATGTTGCGATCTTGCTTTAGAAGAAGGGAAATCTGTAAATGAAAAGAAAATACCGTTGAATCAGAACAATTTAAAGTTTAAACCAAATCTAATTTCATAAATTTCCAAAGTGAATCAGATACAAAAACTTCGCCAAAGGAAGAAATGTGTTATAAATACAAAGTATTTTTAATCGTAAAAATAAGTAATAAATAAACTAAGTACGGCACTGTACGAATTCCAGATACGCGCTACGTGTCAATATTATAAAAACATCAAACAAATTAATTTTCACTGTTACTATACTTTTTATTCATCCAAAAATGTACAGGTAAAAAAATACATATCGTAACTCAAAATTACTGTAAAAACAAGTTACAGCTTTAGTAATTCCAAAAACTAAAACTAGAAACAGACCCAAGTATTTCTAAACTCTATTTCTTTAATTTTTTGAATCTCTATCTATAAATAAACCAAAAACTACAAACTTACAATTTTACAAATTTGTGTATTGGTCATCATACATTTCAAACATTTTTTTTTTAATGTTACTAATGATAATTATT